ATAGATCCAACCTCCTTTATTTAAATTCCTGGAGAGACTATTGAACATACAGCTTGTAAGGAAGGCCTGTTTTCTTTCACCAGCTTAACGACCGTATTGACTACAGAATAATGCATAGTGCACAATAAAACTGTTACATAAACCCAACAGAATGAATACTCTGTGAATAAATAAGAACAAGATGTCATTTAATGTGCCAGCTCATCTCAAAAAGTCTCCAGATATTTCCATGGTGCAGTACCAGAAAATCCAGACAAATCTTTTCTATAGATATTTTAATTAAGATTTCAAATACACATCACTAGATTTACTAGGTATCATTCCATCATTTTAATTAAAAAGATCTGGTAGTATTTCCATCACTTCTTTGTATACATTCATGTTTAATAAGAATATTCAAGAATACAAATATTGTCCCGGGAGGATGGGAGCAACCATGAGATTGCTTTGCACTGGGGGATTTAGCTGTTCAGAATTCACTACCCTTGTTCGGGTGCTTGAGAGCCATATCTTCCAACATTTCACAAGTCAAAACACAGACACATGTAGCCAAGAAAAATTAGAATATTGGCATGATGGCAGGAGTTATTAATGAGGAAGAACACACAAGCTACAAGAGGCTGCAGCAGATTTGCTTTTGCCTGAGCTTACTAGGATAAGCAAGATTCTGCCATCTCTTCTCCTCTCCCCTTATTCTCTACTGAATTAATTGAATGCAAACTACTTTTGCAATTTGAATGCAATTTCCAGTGCGTGAAATAAGCTGAGGAACATGGGGGAAAGCGGGAGCAGGAGAGAGAAACTGGGACATTTTTAAAGTGGTTGAGAAAGTGAAATAACAGAGGATTAAACAGGACAGTTGTAAGGTTTGGGATGCATGTAGGCTAGGGTTTTCTGGAGAGATTCATGCTTTTGTGGCCCTCGACACCTCCGAAATCCCAAGAATGACCTTTTTATGACTAACAAAAGAGGATGAATGGCTGCACTTGAAAGCCTCCATGTGCAATAAGTTACTTTTTAAGTAGGTTGAAAGGCCTACATGCTCTCTTTAACAGAAGTCCAATTTTTGAGAACTAGAAGTGGATGTCTGACCAGTTTGATTCTTTTGTTTTATTTTTCATATGACTTCCAGAGGGTCTGGTGCACCTACAGCACTTCTGATGTAGGCTAGGAAAAGCAAACTCTGTCCCCCAGTTCTAGCCTAGCCCACATACATACCCTCCAATTCTACCAGTTTGGGAAGACAGTCCCAATTAATCCTCTGTTGACCCACTTTTCAGCAGTGTTTGCCATATATACTTGACTATAAGTCGACCTCATGTATAAGTCGAGGGCAGGTTTGGGGGGTCAAAATTATGGATTTTGATATGACATGTGGAAAAGTCAAGGGTAAAACTTAGGGTCATGTAACAAAAGATCTAAAGAATGAAGCAAAGGAAAACAATGCCAAAGAACTTACAAAATTTCAGCAGGCATAACTGTTTGTGCTCACACTAAAGGTTGGATGGATGAGAGAGAAGAGAAGGACGTCAATGTTTCCAGGACAGATTACAGTCACCCCTCCGTTCTCGCAGACTTCAAGTCCGCAGTTTTACATATTCATGGAGGGGCGACCTCTGTTTAAATCAATGGGGCACGCCCATGGAGGTGCGCCCCATTCAAGCCTATGGGGCTTGATTATTCACTAATCTCCATTTTTGTGGGGGTCCGGAATGAATCCCTCATGAAAACAGAGAGCCAACTGTATACTCTTGCCTTTCACCAGGGGAAGTTTCCTTTTTAAAGTAAGAGTTAAAGTACATAGATAAGTCGACTCAGGTTTTGGGGGTCAATTTTTTTACTAAAATTTCCAATAAAAACTAGGCTGTCCCAGACCTCCCAGAGGACCTTCTCCGCA